GGGAGGTTGTCATCTGCACCACCACAGAGGTGTCCTTCACACGCTGCTGCATGTCATACAGCTCCTTATTTAAAACAACACATACAGCGAAAGTTAAGAGGAAAAAATCCAGAATATGACACCTAATTTAATTCACTGATTTAAATTCTGAAAAGGTTTTTAATGTAAGCTTGTTTACCATCTGATGCACTTCTCTGAGGAACAAGATTTCATCCTGAATAGCTGTCAACTGGCTTTCCAAATCCACCTTTCTCATAATTTCTTCATCCACATCCTGGAGGCAACAGAATAAATAAACAACTTTTCTTTTCACTGCTATTTTTTTTTTATTACTCACAAATAAAAGTATTAGTGTCATTGCATACTGCACCTTTTTGAGCAGTACAAAATCATTCTCTGAAGTGGCCCTGCAGTTGATCTCTTCCTCATACCTGAAACACCCACAAATATCAAATTACACACAGACAGACCCCCCCCCCCCCCCCCCCCCCCCCCCCCCCCCCCCCCCCCCCCCCCCCCCCCCCCCCCCCCCCCCCCCCCCCCCCCCCCCCCCCCCCCCCCCCCACACACAAAAAACTAGAAGTGCATCAGATGGTAAACAAGCTTACATTAAAAACCTTTTCAGAATTTAAATCAGTGAATTAAATTAGGTGTCATATTCTGGATTTTTTCCTCTTAACTTTCGCTGTATGTGTTGTTTTAAATAAGGAGCTGTATGACATGCAGCAGCGTGTGAAGGACACCTCTGTGGTGGTGCAGATGGACAACTCCCGCAACCTGAACATGGACCACATTATAGCTGATGTTAACTGCACAGTAATTCAAATACGGTGCAATCAGGGAACAATAGAGAATGTGGAGTGATTTGTGGTCCAGAATGTGTTTTACTTTACTCAAGATTGAGACACTTCTTGAAATTTTGTTTTGTGATTTGTTGACTCTGTACACGGCGTCCTCATTTAAAGAGTTCATATCAGCCATTTCATTCTTTGGTTTGCCTCGCTAACGCCAAGGAGAAATGTTTTACCTTAACCAGGCTTGTCAGGACCGCTGGATCTGAGACCTTAGTCAGTCCAAACCTCTGTGCATTGAATGAAGCAATCTTCATTTCTGTCAAAGGAAGACCCGAAGGAAATATTCAGTGTCATGCAAAAAGCATTTTAAGTATACGCATGACGCTCACTCTGTTCTCTTGACTTTATTCAGCTCTGATGAAATGTTGAGCGGGTGGCACAGATTCAGTGTCATACAAACAAACCCTTATAAATCTGGTTATGTGAGAACATTTTTCCTTTGTACAGTAGTTGTTTGCTTAAAGGAAAGCGATGATTGGATAATTGGACGCGCAGAGAGAGAGGGAGGATTTGAAAAACAAACAAGAGAACAGACAGGTTTCCTTTTTTTAGTACAACTGGTTTCTATTAACATTAGTGAAAACACATTTAATTTAAGTGTGGTAAATTTTTAAATCAAACTATTTTCCTCTTTTGTTCCATAGGATAATAATGTGTACTTTATTGATCCCAGTGGGGAAATTACTCCCTCTGCATTTGACCCATTCACTCAGTGAAGCAGCGGGCAGCCACACCGGGGAGCAGTGTGTAGGGACGGTACCTTGCTCAGGGGTACCTCAGGGTAGCCGTTCGGTGAATTCGAACCCCCGACCCTGCCCCATGGTTGATAATTTGTAATCATAACTGTCAT